TAGCCAGCCAAGGGGCACCACAGCCAGGCAGCAGCCGACAGCGCACGGGCAACCGGATGCAAGCCGGCACAGCAGGCGAGCAGCGCGGCAGCAAGGCGGCGGGCACAGGGCAGGCAGGCAGAAGATGGGCAAGAGGGAAGACGGACACGAGAAAAGGGGTGAGGAGGGCACAGTCAGGAGAAAGGCGGGGAAGGGCCAGCGGAGCTGACTGACGATCAAGCAGGGGGAGGAACAGGAGGGGGGCGGAGCCGAACGCGGCCGCCGGTAGAGAAGAAAAAGGGGACAAAATTTTGGGGCATGAAAAATTGTGTTTTACGGTTACGTTTAACAGTTAAAGGCGAGGGATGTGCAACGGTCATACCATCCAGAACACACCGGATCCCATCAGAACTCCGAAGATAAGCTGGATTAGTACTGTGTTGAGGGATCACACGGGAATCCCCAGTGCCGTTGTGTTTTGCTTTTTTTCCATTTCACCCGGCCATGCACACCTCCCCGCGGAGGCCTCATTCCGGTGGGGGAGGGCGCAAAGGGAGCAAGGCGGGCAGCGGCGCGGTAGGGGCAGTTGCGATCACCACATCAGTAGACAACGCAGGGCGGCGGCAAAGGGAGCAAGCCGGACAACCGGCGAGCAACATGAGGGTGGCGGATGGGGGAGAATGCGTCTCGCTGGCCTGCGCTTTCTTCTGCCCAGCAAGATGACGGCAGGGGAAGCTGGCCATAGCAAAATCCAAAACGTGATCCCTGCAGGCTTTGATCCTGCGACCTTCTGCGTGTTAAGCAGATGCTCTTCCACTGAGCTAAGGGATCGCCAATGCAAAATTGCAATTAACAGTTTTACACTACCCACTGTTTTTGCCTTCCACCGCAAGCAAGCGGCAATCGGCAAACGTCGTTGGCCGCGACGTTAAATAAGGAGCTGGATGAGTGCCGGTGGGTGATACCACAGGCACGAGTTCGAACCCCAGCCGGGACACTAGCTGGGACTTTGCCTCACGGCACCTTCGTGGCGGCATCTGGGCGGCGGACGGCTGCCCGGCAGACCGGCATGGCGCTTGCAAGACGGAGCCTCCCCGGGATGCCATCGGCGGCCAGATTTTCCTCGCTCTGGACAGCCGGCAGGGTTAGTGGGTTCGGCCCCAGCACATTAATGTGCCCAATCCCTGTAACACACACACACACGGCATTTTTTTGCATATTGGCCTTCGTGGCGGCATCTAGGCGCAGACGGCTGCCCGGCAGCCCGGCATGGCGCTTGCAAGCCGCCCGCAACGTCACGGCTCGATTGGTTGCCAGGGGCCTTGCGCCGGCTGCCATCGCTCGGCTGTTTGCTGGCCTGCACCATACAATACTGTTTGGGTGGCCCGCCATGCTCGCTGGGCGGTGCGCCTCCTCACATCCGCATGGGCCCCTCTTCTCTCCTCCTCAGCAGGGGCGGCGTCCGCCCTCCTTCCTGCACCCCTACCCCTCTTTGGCCGCCGCCCCGCTCCCGCCTGCCCCCTCGCCCGCTGCACTGCCGGCGCCTCCCTGGTTTGCCATTGCGTGTGAGCTTCTTGGTAGCCTCCCCCCGGCGGGCTCCTCTTTTTGCCCCTTGACCAGCCCATGCCTGGCTCCCTTGCCCCCTCTTCCTCCTCCCCTCCTTCGCCTCCGTGCCGCCCTCGCCTCGCTGCCCGCGCCTGCTGACGTGGCTGCGGAGCCGCTTGCGCCTGGGCCGTGTTGCATCTCCCTCCGACTCTGGGGCAACCCGCTGCTCCTCTCGCCGTGGCACCCTGCCGGCCTGGATTCCTCCTTTGCTGACTTTCTGAATGCAGGAGTGCACTACCTGCGCCGCTTGCTTGAGGCAGAGCGTGCCGCACTGGAGCGGGTGGCGCAGCTGCCCTGCCCCAGCCCTGGGTGGCGGCGGCACGCGCCGCTGGCTGCCGTTGCTGGCCTGGGGCAGTTGCTATGTCCCCGGGCTGCTCTTGCCGGCACTCTAATGCTTCGCCTGGGCTGGCGCTGCTCTGATGGTTGCATCCCCCTTGCAGCCCTAACCGTGCGCGCCGCAACAGCCCTCGCTGGCTGTCCCTGCGTTTGAGCACCGCGCCGCTGCCCGCCTTGCTCCCTTTGCCGCTACGCGGCGCCCTCCCCCACCGCTGACCCCTGGCCGAGCTGCAGTCAACCATACGCAGCCCGCACCGGAATGAGCCCTCCGCGAAGGTGTGCATGGCCTGCGCCCCACCAAATGAAAAAAAAAGCAAAACACAACGGCACTGGGGATTCCCGTGTGATCCCTCTACACAGTACTAGTCCAGCCCAACTCAGCTTAACTTCGGAGTTCTGATGGGATCCGGTGTGTTCTGGATGGTATGACCGTTGCATATCCCTTGCCTTAAACTGTTAAATATAACCGTAAAACACGATTTTTCATGCCCCAAAATTTTGGCGCCCTTGTCAACCACCCTTGTCGAAGGAGCACCCTTGCCAACCACCCTCTGCAGACTCGGGGGAAGGGGCGCCGCTGATATGGCCACTGCACTGATTGCCTGGCCACAACAATTGTCCCCACCCCACGCGTGCAAGGCACCATGCCAACACGAGCCAACCGGTGCCACTCCCCTGCCTGCTTCTTCGAGTGAATCGCTGCCACATATGTTGGTGGGTCCCTCATGCGAATCAATGTCCCGAGCTCTGCCATGCCCACCCCTTCTTGCTCGCTGCTTCCTTCAAGCATTCGGTCTACTCATGGCCCGGCTGACTGGCCACACAAGTTAGGCCAGGTGACATGAACGGACTTTGCTGCTGAAAGTGACGCAGGCACCTTGAAGCACTGGTGCTGGGCCATGTCGACCCAGACCAGCCGATGGGTATCGTGCATTGGCGTCGGCGATCGGGCAACAGAGCAGGGCACGCCTGGCAGGATCCAGAGTGGTGACAGACACCTGTCTGTGCCGCCCTTCACCAAACTCACATGCATCCTGTCAAGCACATGCGGGTGCGAGACCTCTGGGCTTGAAGGCGCGAGCCGTGACGGCGCTGCGCATGAAGCGCTGGCGGCCGCCAACCTGCCCAAAGCATGCCCGCCATTCCGAGCTGCTACTTGCTTACACGGCTCTACTTGGCCTCCACGGCACGCTCAGCCGGCCGCCCGCTCGCCCTCTCCCTGGCAGCGAGGCAGCCATGGAGCTGGAGGGGCGGTGGAGGGACCTGGACTACCTGCTGACCCGGCAGGGCAACGTGGTGGGGCCGGGATTTGAGCCGGGCCCCGAGATCAGGGAGTTTCTGCACAATGACTGCCGGTGAGCAACCCGATCACTCGGCATGCTCGCCCGTGCGCCAGCGTGCAGCAGGAAGGCAGCCAGGTTGCGATGCTGGAGCCGCGGTCAGTCCCCGCCCCGCGGGGGAGGCGGGCGGCGAGACCCCCGCCCGGCCGCCTGCCGCCAGTCGCCTGCCTACCCCGCCGCCTTACGAGCAGCCCTGCAGCTGGCAGCATGACCAAGGATGCGCATGCCGCCGGGCTCGCCCCGCCACCGCTGACCCCGTCCCCTCGCTCCGGGCCCTCCCACCCGCCCCGGCGGCGGCGGTGCAGGGTGCTGGTGGTGGGCGCTGGCGGGCTGGGCTGCGAGCTGCTCAAGGACCTGGCCCTCAGCGGCTTTGGCAACATCGACGTGATAGACATGGACACCATCGACGTGTCCAACCTCAACCGCCAGTTCCTGTTCAGGTGCGCCGCGCCGCGCCGCGCTCCTTGCAATCGGCGGCACCGGCGGCGGGTCGGCGCCGCTGGCTGGCCGCCCTCGCCGCTGCCTGCGCCGCACCTGCCATGCTTCTTCCGGCTCCCTGATGGAGAGCTGTGTCGTCCTGGCGGCCGCAGGATGCAAGACGTGGGGCAGTCAAAGGCGGAGGTGGCGGCGCGCCGCATCCAGCAGCGCATCCCCGGCGTCACCGTCACGCCCCACCACTGCATGATCCAGGTGGCCGCCTGGCGGCCGCCGCCTCTGCGCCGGGCACGCTGCCGCCGCCCTGCCGGCTGCACGCTGAGCCAGCCCTGCCCATCGGCACCCACCCGTGGGCTACCCTGTGTGTGTGTGCGCGCTTGCCGTTTATCCGCTGGTGCCTGCCCATGCCTCGCCCCCCTCCCTGGCTGCCTGGCTGCCGCCGCAGGACAAGGCGCTGGACTTCTACGAGCAGTTCCACGTCATCGTGCTGGGCCTGGACTCGCTGGAGGCGCGGCGCTACATGAACTCGGTGGCCTGCTCCTTCCTGGGTGAGCCTGGTGATTCGTTTTTAACCTTTTTTACCTTTCCTTCTTGACTCTTATAAACAGCTTTTAAGCAGGTGGCATGGTTTCTGTGTGTGTGTGTGTGACGGAGGTGGGAGGAGACGCGGCGTGTCGCGATTGCGGGCGGGTGGTGGGGTGGCTGTGTGTGGTGGCGGTGACGCGGTGGGGTGGCGGTGCGCAGGCAGCTTGCTGGGCTGGCTGCCCATCCAACCGCGCGCGTCTCACCTGCCTGCCAGCCTGCCTGCCTGCTCCCCCGCGCCCTGCTGCAGAGTATGACGAGGAGGGGCAGCCAGACCTGGCCACGGTCAAGCCCATGGTGGATGGCGGCACCGAGGGCTTCAAGGGGCACGCCAGGTGCGCTGGCGCAGGGCCGGGGAATGGGCAGACGCGGGCCTGGGCTGCTGCGTGGACGGCACGCTGCTGGGGCTGGGCAGGTGGCAGACGCAGCTGGCTGCGTTCCTGCCCGTGTGCCTGCCTGTGGTAGGCAGCAGAAGGGCAGCCAGGGGACCCGGGACTGGGTGCCCGCTACATGCAGGCGCGCCTGCGTGGGGCGCCTGCGCACCCTGCTGTGCCTTGCCCGCATCCTGTGAGGCACTGCGTGGTGTTCCTGCGTTCCTGGCTGGCACAGGGTGCTGATCCCGGGCGTGACGCCCTGCTTCGAGTGCACGCTGTGGCTCTTCCCGCCCCAAACCAAGTTCCCGCTGTGCACGCTGGCGGAGACGCCGCGGTGCGCCCGCCGCCGCCGCTGCCCCGCGCTGCCGCTCCGCGATGCTCGCCTGGAGCCAGGCGACGCCGCGGGTTGCTGGCTCTTTGCCTTTGCCGGTGCTGCGCCTGCGCTGCTGCTGCTGCAGCAGCGGGCATGCCCCCACCGCTCGCTCAGCTGCGGGGGAGAGGCCGTGCCCGCTGCCGCAGGTCGCCAGCCCACTGCATAGAGTATGCCAAGATCATCCTGTGGCCTAAGGAGCGACCAGACGACAGCTTCGACGCGGGTGGGTCGCTCTCTGTGCTGCCGCGCGCTGTGCCCGCTGCCGCCGGTGGTGGCACATTGCAGCCTCTCTCGTCTAGTACCGTCGTACTCTACCCTCCTCTGCTGAAACCGGCCCTCGGGCAGGACTGTGGGCATACCGGTGCCGCCGCCTGTGCCTCGGCGGCCTGCTTTGCCGTGCGCAGACGCTGTGGCGCCGCCAGCGGCGCGGCGTGGGCCCGCCAGTGCCAGCCCCATCCTCGCACCCTCCACATCCACCCCCCCTTTTCTCTCCACCAAATCCCAGCCGTCCCTCCGCCCCCCTACCTGCAGACTGCGAGGAGCACATGAAGTGGGTGTACGACAAGGCGCTTGCCCGGGCAGCAGAGTTTGGCATCCAGGTGCGGGCGCCGCCGCTCTCCGGGCGCTGCTGCTTCCAGCTGGGGCAGCCTGGCGCCAGCTGCGGCAGCAGCGCGCCGCGCAGCCCCGCTCCTCCCTCGCGCATTCCTGCTTCCTGCCTGCACTAGAAGCAGGGCGCCGTCCGGCATCAGGGCCTTGTGCTGAGGCCCAGTGGCCCTATGTGTGGCTGCCGCCAGGCCCCACCCACCCACCTGCCCACCTTGCGTGCCGGCCTGCCTGCAGGGAGTGACGTACCAGCTGACCCAGGGCGTAGTCAAGAACATCATCCCGGCCATCGCCTCCACCAACGCCATCGGTGCGGGGCTGCGGCTGGGGGTGGGGCAGCGCAGGAGGGAGGCATCGTCGCCGGCCGGCCGCTCGGCGGCGCCCCCCTCGCTGCGCTGCTTCCGGCGCCTGTTCACTGTGGGCTGTTCACTGTGGGCTCTAGTCCACCGGTGTGGACTCTGTCTGTTTGGAGGTCTTGAGACTGATCACACGGCCCCCCCACCTGTTGTGCTGCACCCCCCCCTCCTCCCCGCAGTGGCTGCCCAGTGCACGCTGGAGGCGCTCAAGATGGTCACCATGTGCTCCACAGGCCTCAACAACTACATGATGTGAGGGGCGGCTGGCTGGTGGTGGCGGTGGTGCTGACAGTGTGTGGGGGGGCTCGACTGCCGGGCGCCAGTCTGGTGCTGGGCTGCTTGTTGTTGTTGTGGTGGTGGTGGTGCTGCTGCTGGAGCTGGCCTGCCGGGCTGCCCAGCTCCACCGCCCACTCCCCCGCCGGCTGCCCCCGTGCAGGTATGTGGGCACCGACGGCGTGTACACGCTCACCACGCCTTACGAGCGCGACGACAAGTGCCCCATCTGCTCCGCTGGCATCACCTTCGAGGTGCCGCCCTCCACCACGCTCCAGCAGGTGTGTGCTGTGTGTGTGTGTGTGAGAGAGTGTGAGTGTGTCTGTGGGTGGATGACATTGAAGGAGCAGGGGGATTCTTGGCAGCCGGAGAGCTCCCCAAATCAGCGCCAAGCAGGAGCAGCTTCGGCAGGTGTGGCAGCCCATCCCGCCGCCCCATGCTCTTCCCTCTTCCCGTCTTCCCTCGACTCCCGCCCGTCCCGCGGTCCCTTCTAACCGGTTAGCTGCTCCCTGACGTGCTGCAGTTGATAGACCAGCTCGTGGCAGACCCAGACCTAGGAAAGCACCTCAGGTGTGGCCCCCGCCCGTGGCCAGCAAGCATGCTCTTGAGCCCAAGCTGGCAAGCCCATCTGCCCTGCCTCCGATGTCGCCGCACCAGCCAGGCAGCGAGGCGGCCTGCAGCGCGCATCCCGGGCCTGGCTGTTGCTGGGTTGGCTGGCCCAAGCGCCGCAGCCTGCCCCGACTGCAGCCCTCCTGACCCGCCTGACTGTGCTGCCGCCTTCCGTCCCTTGCTCCTGCCGTGCAGCGCTCCCAGCGTGAGCTACGGCAGCACCAATCTGTTTATGCGGGGAGCACTGGAGGCGCAGACGCGGCCCAACCTAGAAAAGGTGTGCTGCGCCGGCTCGGTTCCAGCTGGGAGTAGGAGAGGTGGTGGGCATGGGCTAGGACCGCTGGCCTGACCGCTGCACATTGCCAGCTGCTTTGTGCAAGCCACAACCACAACGGCAGCCTTGCTTCGGCGCACCCCCTAACACCCTCTGTCCCCCTCTCCGCCTGCCCTGCCTGCAGCCCATCAGCGACCTTGTGGATGGGGACGGCAGCATCGTGCACGTGAATGACCGCAAGCTGGTTGCAGGTATGATGCGCCGCTGTGCTGCAGTGTGTGTTGGCATGTCATCAGTCCGGGCAACGCCAGCCTCCCATCCGCTATGATGCACAAGCCTGAGCCTCATTTGTGGTCTCTCTTTGCATTGAATGCTACCCCTGGTCTCTCTTTGCATTGAATGCTACCCCGCAGCCATGAAGATCCGGCTCAAGTTTAGCGGCAGCACCAACGGCACGATGGAAATGTGAGGCGGCGGCTGCAGCGGCCGGCGGCGGCGCCAGCAGCGCGGGGAGCCTGGGGCGCTATGCTGTTGGTGGCCAGACGCCTAGCAGGCAGTGGCTTGGAGAAGCAGGATGGACTTTCATGTAACATTTAGCAACTCTCTGGATTCATGATTCATCTGATTGCTGAATCAGTACGACATGGCGCCACCTCGCCGCGGCTTTTAAAAGCGGTTGGAAAGTTTGTCCTTTTCGGATGCCTGCATCCTGCGCCCGCCGCAATCCCACGGCGGCCTTGTCCGATTGCGGAACGCCCGTGGGAGCCGTTTGCCCGCCTGCAAGTCGAGATGGCACAGAATGAACTGTCCGAGTATGAGCTGCAGCGGCAGCGAAGGATTGAAGAGAACCAGCGCATCATGCATCAGATGGGGGTGGTGGATGCCGCCGCGAACATTCAGGCCAGCCACCAGGCCAGCCAAGCGCAGCGACCGCAGCCCCGTCCCAAACGCAAGTTCGAGACGCTGCTGATCAAGCAGGAGGACCTGCGGCGATCGGATCGGTGAGCAGGCGGCCAGCAGGGGAACCCAGGGCGTCGCGGCGCGTTCCCGCCGCCAGGCGTACCAGCCCACTCTGCCATGCACTGCTGGGCTTCCGACTGCCCCTCCTGCTTGTCTTGGCCAGGTCAAGGAAGGATGTCAACTACAACGAGAATGATGCCTCGAGGCAGGAACAGGCGCTGGCCCGGGCAGAGGCCCGCTCCAGGTGGGCAGCACCCTGCCACCACGCTGCCCGTCTCCCTTTGCTGGCGAGCCTCGATGCAGCTGGCCCTCTCACAAAGATTGGCGCTGCACAAGACAGGCTGCCCCACGCCTGCAATTGCAGGACGATTACCATCCGGCGGTTCAAGCCGGCTGCCGGCGGCGACCGCGTCGTGCGAATCAGCAGGCAGGCGGGCTGGGTGCCTGCCATGGGCTGCGCAGGCGAGCAGATGCTGTGGGGATTGCAGCCGCTGGAATCTGCATGGAGAGCATGGGAATCAACGCTGGCACGCCTCGCGGGCCGCGCTACTCAGCCAGAACAGCAGAGCGATGGTGCTTGTGGTGAGCTGTGCCTGCCTCGGGTGCAGGGCATGAGGCTCAGGACCGATGCCTGGAGGCGGCTCGGGAGCACATCGAGGGCCTGAGCAACCCGGCGATGATCAAGGTGGGGTGCTGCTGCTGCTCCCCTCTCGGTGAGCGGTGGGCAGTAATGCGCGCCCTGCTCCGCAGCAGCAACCAAAGCAGACGCCCCTCACCCTGCCACTGAAGCCCGTCACCCTGCCGCCCGCCTGCCTCCGCCCTCCGCCAGGTGCTGAGCTCCAGCATGGTGTATGGAGGCTTCTGGTGCACCGCGCCCTCGGGCCTAGCCAGGTCAGCCCAGCTCCCGGCGCCTTGCCTATGCAGCCACCGTGCGATGTCGTGCAGTTCAGCGTGCGCCCGTCCAGCCCTCACCGCTTCCTTGGCCTCCCTGTCGCACGACGACGCCGTGCTGCGCCTGCCCGACCACGCCGGCCTGTCCACTCTCTCCCTCTTCCCTCGTGCCCCGCAGCCACGTAAAGGTGACGGACAAGGTGAACCTGGCCGCCTACCTGGCGCCGCAGCATGAGGTGCCGGAGGGCGCAGAGTACACGACGGACGACCCCAACGGCGGCAAGGTGCGCATCTTGTTTACTTTCTTTACTTTTCTTTCAAGAAGAATGTGCCCAGCCCACTGCTGCAGCTGGACAGCCCGCTGGCTTCTGCTGCGCCGGTTTAGGATGTACCTACGCCCCGCCTGGCTTCGTGGCGCTGGCGGCCAAACGCGTGTTCAGGCCCCGAGCTGGTGCCTGCTGCCGCCTGCCACCCTGCCCGCAGTATTGGGACATGGTGTGGCTGCCGCACGGCAGGAGCTATGGCTTCAGCGGCGGCTGGCGCGGCTTTGCCATCGACCTGGTGAGCCCGCTCTGCCAGGGGCAGCGCACAGCATGCAGTTGGCGTGCCCGACTGCCGCAGTTCGTCTCCGTCAAGCAAACCAGCGAGCTGGCGTTGCTGAGGCACACACCCACCTTCCTGCGGCATGCCTGGCGCACGCTCTGGTTGCCCAGTGCTGAACGTGCCGCCTGCCTGGCACTGCAGAAGCTGTTCCCTGGCGATGCGGTGGTGGTGGAGACAGTGCCGACTGCCCAGCACGTCACCACCGGCACCCGCTTCAGCCTCACCATGCACATCTTCCGGTGAGCTCCTTGCGGTGCATGCATGCGGCATGGGGGAGGCGCGCAGCGGCGGCAGCAGGAGCCGCTGGGCAGGCGTGAGCTGTTCCCCGCGCTCTTGTATGGTCCTGCAGCGGCGGAGCTGTGCCAGTGGTATACGTCCCCGCTGTTCTGCAATAAGCATCACCAGCGCTGCAGTGTCGCTCCCTTTCACTGGCCGTGTGTGTCTATCTGCTGCAGGGCGCTCGATTTTGAGAGCGAGGCTGCCAAGGAGGCGCGGCGCAAGGCCCTGGAGGCGGCCGCCGCTGTAGAGGCAGCTGAGGACGAGGCAGCTGGCGCCGAGGAGGCAGAGCAGCAGACGCAGCAGCAGCAGCAGCAGCAGCAGGAGCAGGAGCAGGGCGAGCAGTCGGCTGAGGCTGGCGCAGCGGCGGAGCTTTCAGAGCTCGAGGCAGAGCAGGATGCAGCAGCTACTGCGGTGGCAGAGATCTCGGAGCCTGAGCAGGAGCAGGCTGTGGCTGCCGCAACGGCTGAGCTCTCAGATCAGGAGCCGGGGCAGGAGGCTGCGGAAACAGCTACCTCGCCGGCCTTCCCAGCAAGTGGCGGCAAGCGGCATCGGCAGACCATGCTGGCTGCGGCTGGCGGCAGCAAGGTGGGGACACTGCTGGCTTTTCATGTGGCTGCCAGCTGCCGCCGTATCTCTGCCACTCTCGCATCTCTGCTTCGCCTCAGCCTGCCACCAGTAGCCTGCTGGGCTTAGCTTACACCCCCGTGTCGTCACCCGCATGCCTGCAGCGGCAGAAGCGCGCCGTGGCGGCCAGCAAGCCTCCTGCGGCGCCGCCCGGCAAGGCGCCACCCAGGAAAGCCAGTGCCGATGGCAAGGCCGCCAAGCCCGCTGCCAAGAAGAGGGCTGCCAAGAAGAGGGCAGGCGGTGCTGAAAAGCAGAAGAAAGGCGGCGCAGCAGCTGCGGCCAAGACACAGCAGAAGCGGCAGCCAGCCAAGGAGCCGGCCAAGCCAGCGCAGCAGCAGGAGCCCGAGAAGCAGCCGGAGGTGGGGCTGCCGGCGGGCTGCTGCCGCACCGGCGATGGCCTTGGGCTGCTGTTGCTGCTGGCTGCAGTGTGCCTGCATGCACTGCATGCTGACCCTGGTGCTACGTCGTTGTTCCATTCATGCCCTTATGTTATATTGCTGCTGCAGGAGGAGGAGGCTTGGGATGTGGAGTGCATCGTGGGGGTGAAGGGCAAGGGCAAGAGCCTGAAGTACGAAATCAAGTGAGCCTCGCTGTGGTGGTGGTGCCTCCAGCGCCTCCCGGTGCTCCACCCTTGCCGCGCCTGCTCACTTTCTTGCCGGATCAGTCGTGCAGCTGCCGGCCCTGCCCTCCTCCGCTCGCATCTGCCCACCACCAGAACCCCTGTGCCGCCCACAGGTGGGTGGGGTATGAGGAGACGACCTGGGAGCATGCCACCATGCTCGACCAGCCGGTGCACACATACAACCTGGCGCCGGGGCTGGTGGTGTGAGCGCGAGGGCAGGCGGTGCCGCAAAGCGTCGCGACGGCGGTGCAGCGGCAGGCAGCGAGCGCCGCTGCTTATGGCTATGGCGACGCCTGTACAAGCCGCGGTTGTATTATGTTGTGCCTGTTGTTGTTGTCGCACTGCAGACCCGTTGGTTGATTGCACAGCAAATCTTGACTGGTATTGCTACTTGACATGATGTGAAGTTGACCAATGCAAGAAATCAACTGGTGGCAACAGCACAGCGCAACCCGGGAGCGGGCAGGCCAGCTGCCCATACAATGCTGTACAATGTTGTACAATGCTGTACAATGCTGTACGCCCAGGCTCATGTGAGCGTCACCTCCTCGTCGTCCTCCACCTCTTCCATCGCCTCCCTGCCGGACAGCTGCCCGTGCAGCACCGCCGCCGCCGCCACCGCCCGCGCCATCTGCTCGGCACGCACCGCTTGCAGCCGCTGCTGCTGGAATTGGTGCAGCAGGGGGTTGCGATCCAGGGCATCCAAGGAAAGCATCTGGATGGGAGCAGCGGCATCCGCCGCCGCCAGGTGGCTGATCAGCGGGTCGCCGCCGCCGCCGCCGAGCCCCCGCCGCTCCTCCTCCGCCCGGTCCGCCTCCTGCTGCTGCCCCCGCAGCGCCAGCTGCTGGCTGGCTGCCGCTGTGGCCGCCGCCTGAGGAGACCCAGGGCTGGGCGATGCTGCTCCTGCCACAGCTGGAAGCTCTGCCTCAGCATCCGCGTCCATCGGTGTGCTGTCTACCGTGCTGCCGGCCAAGCCGCCCTCCAGATGCAGGTCGGACAGCTGGCTGGCCAGCAGGGTTGGGCTGCCGGGCTGGCCTGACGCGTCTCCGTGGCCCCACTCGCCGCCGCCGGCCCCTGCTGACCCCTGCTCCCGCTGCGCCGCGTCTGCTGGCGGCGGCGGCGCTGCCAGCATGGCTTCCAAGGTCGCCGTTTCGTCCTCCACCTCCAGCTCGGGCGAGCCCAGGCGCTGCAGCCGCTCTGCTGCTTCAGAGGTGAGGGGATGGAGGGGCAAAAGGGAGCTGGAGACGTCGTCTGGCGCCGCAGCTCCCGCCGCTGCCGCCGCCGCCGCCAGCTTCTGCCGCTTGTCGCTGGACGTTCCAGACGCCGTGGGCTGCTCGCATGCTGGATCTGCAGCTGCGCTGCTGCCGTGGGGCTGCCTTGACCAGCCGGCATCCGCTGCGGTGTCGTCTTGCGGCTTGCGCTTGCTGTGCATGCCCTCTTCTCCGTCCACATCCATGACGGCGGCAATCGGTGATCTGAGGCGGGCGAGTGGGGAGCCAGGCGAAGCGATCACAGTGTGGCTGACTTCAGCAGTGGGTTATAGGGACTGGGAGGCCTCGAAAGTTCACAAACTTGGCATGCGGCGCCTGCGGATATTGTCCATGTGTGCGAATGGTGGGGCTTGGCTGGCCGCGGCCGCCCCGCTGGCGCCGGCACCCATGTGGGGAGCACATGCTCGTCTCTGTGCATTGCAATCCTTTACACAGACTGTGCAGGTGCGGTACGCCCTGCAGGGAGCTGCAGCCTCAGGCCTCCGCCCCGGTAGAGCAGCCCGCGCTCCGCTCGCCGCCGCTCACAGCTGGCAGGGCAGGGCGCGGCGGCACATGAGGTCCACCACCACGCCTCGCCCCGCCTGCCCCTTGCCCTGCAGCCAGGGACATGGTAAGGGTACGGCCAGGCAGGCAGGCAGGCAGGCAGGCAGGCAGTGGCGCAGATTGGAATGCACGCAGGGACCCTCAACGCTTTGCCAGGCCGCGGCTGCATCATGTGCTTGCGGTTCTCTTCCTCTCCCTGCCACACACAAAGAGCCCCACCCCAGCCCACCGTGAGGGCATCCAGCGTCCCAAAGACGGTCTCCGGTGCAGATCCCAGGCCGCCGATGGGCGCCTCCTCATGCAGTGCCCGCGCCAGCTTCTCCCAGGCAGCCGCCTCTGCAGGCCACGACAGCGGCCGCAGGGGCGAGAGGGGTCGGCATGCGCGCAGGGTGGGGGGCTACCAAAAACACATCATGCAGAAAGCAGCGTGGGCGGCCCTGCTCTGCAGTGCCATGTGCCACACCCCACACTTGTGCACCCGCCTGCCGCCCAGACCCAGCGCCGCCCTGCTTGCCTGTGCCGCGCCGCGGCATCGCGGTGAGCAGCTGGCAGTAGCGCCAGGCCAGCAGGGCGCCCATGCTGGGGTGGACCATGGCCAGCTCTATGGCGTCTGTGGGTGGGAGAAGAAAGCGCGGCGGGCGGGAAGAAAGCGTCAGGGCAGGTCGGCAGGCGGCCTGCAGCTGGGGCCCACACCCCTGTCCGCCTGCCCAATCTGTTCCATACCACCACACATGCCCCCGCCACCACTACACACGCCCCTGCGGCTCCCACACTAGAGAGGACACCCCCCCTACCTGCCGACCCAGGCCCCAGCTGCAGCATCTTTGCGGCTTCCCGGTACAGCCCCTCTGCCAGCGTGACCCGCCCCGTGCGGGAGTAGGTGTAGGCGGTCAGCAGCAGCACGGGCGCCACGCGGGGGCACGACGCGCCGCTCACCGCCTCGGCCGCCGCCAGCGCCTGCAGGGCAGGCCGGGAGATGGAGTGCCATAATAGATTTGTGCGAAAATGAAATAAGATCGAGCGGAGAGGGGAGGGCGAGAGTGTGCGCGGCCAGCCATCGGGCAGCGCTGTGTGGGCGACGCGCTAGAGAACACATATCAACAGAGGGTGCGCAAGGGGAACGCAACAGCCGGACGCGCTTCGGGGCCCTGCTGCTTGCGCCCTGGGAGGCGCCCTGCTGCCCCTGGCTCACGCTGGACAGCGCCTGCTCCGCCGCCTCCCACTCTGCCGCTGCTATGCCGGCCTGCGCCTCGGTCAGCCAGGCGTCTGCCAGCGCCTCTCCGGTGAACACCGGGGACAGCAGCACGTCTGCAAGCATTGCAGGCATGGGGAGGTTGGGGTGTGACGATTGTGAGCTGGTGATGCGAGCGGAAGACATAGGTGAGGGTGAAAGGGAAGCAGCAGGCTGCAGGTGCAGGCAGGCAGGCAGGCTGCCGACCAGGCATGCCCTGCACACACGCTGGACAAGCACAGATGCTGGGACAAGCGCCGGCCTCGCCTGTGCTGCCCTTGGCGCTGCCGGCCTCCTGCTGGGCCGCCGCCGCCGCGCGCTTGCCCAGCTGCTGCGCATCCGCCACCAGGCCTTCAGACAGCCGGAACGCCGCCGCCTGCGGCAGCCCAGCGCGCATGCCAAGCTGCTCGCTCCAGCCCGGACGCCACAGCAAAGCCACCCACCATCACCAAGCTAGCAGCTGGAACGCAAGGAGGCAGTCCCTCCGCTGCGATGCCTGCAGGCGGTCGAGCCAGGAGCAGCGCCAGCGGCGGCAATGACCGCCAGCAGCCACCTCCCCTTCGTGCCTGCTTGAGCGCCTCTGATATCAGGTGGTCCCGCTCCGGTACCGCGCCGCTGCGCAGGTCTTGGTGCCCCGCCAGCGACACCACTGCAGCAGGAGGTGATGGCATGGGCGAGGGTGGCGTGCCAGTGGGGTGATGGGTCGGCTATTGAGGGTGCGGAGCTGGGCTGCATGCCTGCAGCCCTGGCCCAGCAGCCACAAACGGACAGCCCAGACTGCACGCCGCCCGACGCTGCCATGCATGCACACACGGGGCCAGCAAGCAGGAGGCACCTGCACCGCCCATGCCCCCACCAGCACCTCTGCCAGCCCAGCCCAGCCCAGACCGGACCAGCCCAGCCCAGCCCAGACCGCACCTGCCCCAAAGTTCTCTCCCGCCGACACAAACTCCCCCGCCGCGTGCTGCACCATGCCCGCCACGCCGCTGGCCAGCACCAGGCCCTGCCACCGCCGGTCCTCGGCGCCGGTGGCGGTGAAGGACTTGCGAGCCACCTCCATGCACTGCGGCAGGGGGCGGGGGATGGTACTGGGGGTGATGCGGGTATGTGCGGTACAGAACTGTGCGGCGCAGGTCTGAGCGGTACACGTCTTTGTTTAGATTCAAGGCAGGGAAAGGTGCAGCCCAGGCAGCCCCGCGGCGCGCCTGCCGCCGCCCGCCCGCTCCAAACTCAACCCCCGCCTACCATCTGCGCCGCCTTGAACGCGTCGGCGTCCCGCCCCTGCGCCAGCGAGGCGCGAGCGCTGACGCACTCCGCCAGCAGCTCCGCCTCTGCAATCACCAGCGCCTGCGACGGCGAGCTGGGCTGCGCGTCGGAGGCCGCCGTCGCCGCCTTGCGGGCCAGGTCCCCAACCTCGGGCTGCGGCCAGGCAGAGGGAGGGGAGGAAGGCGGGGAGGCAGCCATGGGGCCAGGAGTACTGGAGTAAGGTCAGCTCTGGCTCCAGCCTGGCTGGCGGAACATGAGAGCCCGTGTGGGAAGGCGGTGCACGCAACTACTGACCGGCAGCGAAAGCAGCAGCAGCAGCAGCGGCGGCAGCGGCGGCGGCGGCGCACCCAGCGGCTTCTGTCCGCCTCGATCTCTGCTTGCGCCAGGTACAGCCTGCAGCGGAGCACGCGCGCAGGGCGGCGATGGCACGAGGCGACGGCGGCACAGGCGTGCAGCAGGAGAAGGAGGCGGGGCGGGGAGCGGGGGCTGCATGCAGAAGGGAAAAGGCCCCCACCTGCCGGCGTCTGGTCCGGTGGTCATGTACTGCAGCCCCGACTTGAGCACATCGATTGCCTGCTCCTGGTTGGTCTGCGGCAGGGCGCAGCACAGAAGAGGGGCAGCGGCAGGTGCTGACGTGCTCGGTGGCTGCCGCGTGCCTGGCGCCGCTTAGAACCGGAGTGCCAGACGATGCCGAAACGAAAAAAGCAACTGCAGCCCACCTTGAAGTTGCCTCTGGCGTATGATATAATTTCATCTGCGCTCAGCCGCAAGGTGAGATGGTGAAGGGAGAAGGGCGGCGTCAGTGGCGGCGGCGGCGGTTTGGCACCGCCCCACCGCCGCGTTCCAAGGAGCACCGTATGCCGGCTGCATGCAGCATTGGCTCCCATCGGCGCTCACCAACAACGTCTTCAGAGGCCGCCGCCGAGAAGCAGCGCAAGTGGCGGGCCAAGCAGCCCAAGGCCTGCACCCGAGCGAGCTGCGCCATGCCCGCTATGCCACAATGTCGTGGGACAATGCACAATGCGATCAAGCAACTCTCAGGGGTTTCGGTTGCTCTGTCGGAAAAGCGTGACACAGTCAGCGCTGATCGGCTCAGAAGAAGCGAGGTTTGCCAGATGATCTGAAGCCGCCGCGGCTCGAGGGGCCTGATGCTGCGCTGCTCCGCGGCAGTGGCCAACATACCCCCGCTGTCTCGCTTTGGCAGGGCCCTGGGTGTGCGCACCGTGTCCAGCATGGAGGCCAACATCGTCCGATCAGACCAGGATGCCCAGAAGGTCGAGCGGCTCAGTCAAACGCCGCCGCCGCCGCTGCCACACCGCCGCCCGCTGCCTTGCCGGCAGGCACACACTGCCGCCCTTCCCTTCGGCGTCCCCTTACAGATCGCCATCCAGGCCAAGCGCGTGGCAGTGCTCGGCATCAAGACGGAGGCACAGGCCAGCCAGCCCGCTTTCTTCGTGCCCGAGTAAGCAGGGCCGTGCGCATTTGAGGCAGGCGAGCGGGCGCTGTAGCAGGGACTCCAGTCCCCGCCGTCCCCTGCCCATGCACATCTACCCACAAGGTGCCTCCACGCCCGCTACCTGGTGCCACCGCCCGGTGCAGGTACCTGCAGAGCGTGGGGGTGGACATCGTCCCCGTCCCAGGTGCGGCACGTAGGCAGATGCAGCAGCAGGCACGCCACCCCGCCACGCTCCCTCCAGCAGCTTGCTGCCACTCTGCCACCCGCACGTGACGTGTTCCCCACCCGTCCCGACGAGAAATGGGTAGCCCGGGGCGTAGTTTCTCAACCCGAGGTCCATCAGGGCCAGCAGCTCCGCATCTGACGCCCCTCTGTGCCTGTGTGCTTCAACACTACACATAACCCCTGCAGTCTATTACCCAGAGGTCAAGGAGATTCTGGGCAAGCCAGTGGTGCGGGACCTGCGGCAAATCCAGGGACACATCGACATCCTAGACGTCTTCCGCCGGCCGGCCGACCTGCCTGGGGTGCGTTGGCGGGCAGGGCAGGCACGCCGGGCTTGCAGGCGGCCAGAGCTTCCGCACGACGCGGCGCCTCAGCGTACCGGGCTGCCGCAGCGGCGCGGCGGCGCGGCCTGCGCCAGGTCGGCAGGCAGGGAGGCGGGCGGGCAGGGAGGCGCTCGGCGGTTGGCAGTGTGCTTGGCTGAGAGGCAGGCTGCCCTGTCCATTCCTGCTCCTTTCCTCCCTGCTCCTTTCCTCCCCGCAGCACCTGGATGACATTGTGGCCCTCAGGCCTGACTGCGTGTGGCTGCAGAGCGGCATCAGGTGGCACCTGCCGCCCTGGGGCCGGCCTGATGTGACAGCAGACACGCCAGCTGCGAGCCTGGCAGCCTGGGAGCCTCTCTAAGCGGGCAGGCAGGCGCAGGCGCAGCCTTCCTGCTGTGGTCACGGCGTTGCTCTGTGCTCCTGCTGTCCCCTTTTCCTAGCTGTCTGCAATGCCGCCTGCCCACCCCTCACCCGCCTCCTCGCCCCCTCCTCCTGCCCAAACCTGCAGCCACCCGGAATTCGAGGAGCGCCTGGCTGCGGCAGGCATCAAGGTGGTGCCCAGCAGGTGCCTCAAAGTGGACAGAGCGGCGGCCGGCGGGCCGCAGCGCGCTGTGAGGAGGGGGCTGTGCGGCGGAGGGCGGGCGGAGGGGAGCTGTTGCATGGGTGCGGCGCGCCTGCCCTGGCCGAGCGGCCTCATCATCTGCGTGCACACGGGCTCGCCCTTGCATGTACATGCGCAGTTGCGGCGGTATGCCCAATCCTCAACTCAGTGCATGCATGCTGAAAGCATCGGCGTGTCGGGCCTCTCGCAGCTCCCGGCTGCTCTGGAAAGGCTGCCGCCCGTGCCGGCCGGGGCGCCAGGTCAGCGCAGGAAGGGGCAGCCGGAGGTGCAGACGGCGCACGACACGCCCGGGCACCAGCCTTGGGGCGGCACCCAGTAAGGATCCTCCCAGGGAGGCAGCTCCTCATCCTCATCCATCTCCTGCTCCTCCTGTTGCTCAGCAGCCGCCAGCACGGTGCCGGCGGGCTGTGGGGCGCCGCTGCCGCCTGCGGCTGCACCCTCCTGCAGTCAGGCATCCGCAGGGGGTGAGCTTCTGCCGCTGGCGAGCGGCGAGGGTGCAGCATGCCTCGGCCGCAACCAGCCCACTCTGCCACAAGCAGGCGGCAGCGGGAGCGCCCTCCTCCCGCCCACCTGTGCGCTGCTCTCTCGTCCCTGCTCCGTCTGCGGGCCTGGGCTCCTGTCGTGTCCCATGGCCCCGCCTCGCTCCTGCGGCAGAGGCCATAGCGCAGCGGACTCTATCAGATGGCGCCAGCCGGCAGGCGCCGGCGCACCCAGCTAGGCAGCTCCAGCCCCCTGGCGCAAGCCACTGGCAAGCACCAGAACCACCCTGGCCGCACCTCGTTGGAAGCCCGCACAGGCGCCACAGGCCGAGGTTTCAGGCGCGGTGGCGCGGGCGCGGCCCCCGTGGCGCGCCGCAGGCTGCTGCCTGGCGCCAGGCTGCGTGTGGAGGCTGCACTGCTGAGCGTCTGCATGGTTGCAGCAAAATTTCCAACACAAAACGAAGCTTCTTGGGGTAGGGAGAGCAAGAGGCATCGGGCAGCTCAGCTGACAGTGCGCTCCCACAAACCCTTGGATGGCCTTGTGCGCACTCAGCCACAGTCCAGACAAGCTAGCAAGCAGCCCCTGAGCCCTGCCGGCCCGCCACAGGCGCCCGCCCCTCCAACCCACTCGAGCACTAACCCCTCCGCTCCTCCTCCCTGCCTGCTGCCGCCATGGTGTCCCTGGCCGCCCGCATGCGCTTCCTGTACTGCCTGAACATCCTGGTGCCCGGCGGCCTGGCCGTGCTGCACCTGGCAGACCCGCGCGCCGCCGCTGAGCGGGTGTGGGGCGGCGCCCCCGCCACGCTGGCCCTGCCCATGCTGGGAGCCTGGTGGGCCGCGGTGGCGCTGCTGTCGGCCCTGGGCCTGCGCAGCCCGCTCAAGTACAGGCACGCCGCCGCGCTGCGCATGCTGCTTGCTGGCCCTGCACAGGCTGGAAGGTTGATCCCATCCCTGGCCTGGCCTGCCCTGGCCATCTACCAGCTTGCCCGTGTGCCTGCTCTGCCTGGCGCTGACGCCCACACGCTTGGCCTTTCCGCCTGCGTGCGCCCTTCCCACGCCCGTCCCCTGCAGCCCCGTCATGCTGGTCCAGATTGTGTACAAGCTGGCGTTCCTGGGCACCACCATCGTCCCCCTGGCCGCCCAGGGCCACTGGTCGGCCTTCCCCGCCGCCCCCACCGCCGTCTACACCGCCTACCTGCCCCTGCTGCTGGCCTGCGCGCCCTGGGGCTACCTGCTGGGCAGCAGCGGCCCCGACGCCACCCGCGAGAAGGTCGAGTGAGCCCGAAGCAGCCTGGGCTCGAAGGGCGGCGAGCGGCCAAGGATTCAGCGCAGCGCGGCACAGCACAGCACAGCTCCGGATCCTGCACATGAGGATGCCTCCTGCGGCGGCATGGCCACATGCCCTGCCCACTTCTCCTTTTCACAATATCCTGTCTCAGATGAGGGGCGCGGCATGCCTGCCGCACCCTCCATTCCCAGTCACCCTACAACCCTGCACAGTCGCCTGTTGAACCCATCACCCAGTGCCTGTTGAACTTCCTCACAAAGCAGCACATCGGATCAAGGGCAGGGCATTGACACATCCGGTGCACGGCGCTGGCAGTGGCGCGTCAGCCTGAGGCTGCCATCGCAAACACAGTTCATGTGGAGGAAGGCAAAGCAGGCATCATGCAACGGACCAGCGGCTCATTCCAGCCAGCGGTGGTGGTGGCTCGGCGCCAGCCGGCCTGCCGAGCTGCGGGAGGCACAGCTGGTGTAGCGTGGTAGGGTTCTGCCAGCCGCCGGCGAGGCGGCTGTTGCGCAGGTGGTTGCTGCCCAGGTCCAAATGGGTGAGAATGTGAGAATGAAATGCAGTTTAAATACCTGGATACCGCAGACCAAAGTGCACCGCGAAGCAGGCCTGCTAAGCTGGCCCGCATGGCTGCCAGCGGGTTCCTGCCGGGGACGTATCGCCCTGCCTGGCTCAGGCGCCTTTTGCCAGCTTCAGCTTCTTCAGCAGCGGCGCCACGGCAGACTTGGGTGCAGGGGCGGTGGACAGGCAGGTGGCGAAGTCCTCGGGCTGCTCTATCCACAGCTTGTGCGCCACCCCCGCCTCGCCCAGCTTTGTGGCCAGCTTGCGCAGCTGCGCTTCGCTCTTGATCTCAAGCACCACCTGCGTGGGTGCAGGGTATGCGGGTGCGGGGCATGGGCACAAGGCGCACAATCAGCAGGTAGCTTGTTGTCAGCGGCGCCCAGTGCATGCAACCCTCCGCGCGGTAAGATCGCTAGGGAGCAGCCGTGGGTGTTCGATGCTTCCAGGGGCATCGCCACCCAGCCCGCACCAGCTCCCACGCCCAGCAGTCAAGGAGCCCCACATCCCAGCAGACTCCTCTGCGCCCCATTTCTGCAGCCCGCCCCAGCCAGGCCGGCTCGCCTTGTGCATGTGGTCTATGTTTTCGGGGGCGCAGTACTGCTGCGTTGTGGCCGCCTCTCTAGTCATCCACAGCGCTGCGGTGGCTGCGTGGCAGCCCTGCGCCACCAGGCTGCCCAGCGGCCAGTCCAGCTCCGTCCACAGGTCACGCCGCAGCACCACATACTGCAGCAGGGGGTCGGACTCGGCGACGGCGCCGCCGCTGGCGGCGGCGGCCGCCTCGCTGCCAGCTGGTCCTGCTGCTGCCATAGTCGCCATGCTGCGCCGCAGTGCTGATCTTGGCGGTGCTGCAGCTGTCAATTGCGATGCTTGGCAGCGGCCTGGCGGGCTGCTGGAGGTCGCTCGGGCACCGGCTGAACTGAAGAGGCAGCACCGGCAGGTGGTGACGGACCTGGAGCAGCCGCTGGAGACTGCAAAAGCTCTGAGCATCACCCTCGACGAGGGAGGTGGGCCAAGTTTCAGAGGGCGGACAGCAGGCGAAGAGCGCAGGGCGCCGCGGTCGATACTTGCAAGTGGTTGAAGATCGCGAAATGACCCATTGCATAGCTGCGACAATTTGTGGCCGACCCTGCTGTGGTGGCCGCAGCATGGCGCCGCCGCCGCCAGTGCCGCCCATAGCGCGCGTCCCCCCGCCCAGGAAATCTAGGCCTTACATGGTTACAAGCAGACAGCGCACACTAAGGACATGCAAACAACTGCAATACTTCAAGTTCAAAAGGAAGTGCATCATGAGAGTGCAGGGGACAATCAAAGGACAGATACGCGGGCCACGGTACAAAAGGCGCGCACAAAGCTGTTCACTTAGGCAGAGAGGAATTCCAGCTGGCGCATCATGTCAGTTCACAACAAGCGGATGGGCACTAAT